TAAGAAAGAAATAATGCACTGAATAAACATGGTAGGGTTCTTTTTAACAGAGATCATAGAATCACAGAATCATTAAGGTTGGAAAAGACCTCTAAAATCAACCCAACACCATCATGCCCACTAAACTGTGTGCCAAATGGCTACTTGTGCTCTACAGTTTAATAACCATGTAATATTTACATTTATGCTTTTGAGGTCTTTCTGTCTGAATACAGGGTCAGTTTGATTAACTGATATGTGGCTAAACTTTTTTACAAGCTCCAGATTTCTCCTTCACTTTTTAGGTATTCTGTTTACATATGTAAAATTAATTACAAGAAAGGCCCATGAAACATGAGACTTGAGAAAACAAATCCAGTATTTTAACATTTAAGTTTGGCCATAAATAAGGCGATCAAGCATTTTTTTTCTCTCCATATACTGTAGATTGATTGACTTAGCAATAAACATGAAGGTTCATATTACTGGGACGAGAACGCAGGACTTAATAGTCAGTTTTTAATTTGCTGTCTATGCTTCTATAGTTATGCTGTTCTTCTTTATATTTCTGCATTAATTAACCACCTCATCTCCCCTCCTTACTAAAGGACCAATTTTGCAATTAATCTTCAATTATCTTCTATGAAAAGGGCACATTTACCAGTGTCAGTGATCTCAAAAAGCTAAGTCAGTGCTTTTAAGATGGGCACATAAAATGCCATATAACAACTTGCTATGCATTCATGTGCACAAACCCTTTTTTAAGTTGCTGTTTTTCAGAAAACCCTTGATATGGTTTATTCACAGATGAAGATGTTAAGACCAATGCTTTTGTAGGCTAGTATTTTTAAAATAACAGTAATAACCAAGCAACCATTTACAATCCTTAGAGCTCTGTGTAAGGAACCAGCTGGTGAAGGGACAGTTTGTCCCATTACAGGGTGTCCCCATGGTGGCTGCTGTTTGTGAAACTGTGCTCCCTCAAATAGAGACAACACTACTGGAGAGCTGCCTCACTCGGTGACATTCACAATACGGGGCCATACAGCTCATATTTAGCGTGGCATTTCTACAGCATCCAGCAAGAGAAGCATCATCTCAAATCATATACACAGTTATTGTGACTCCCCACGTGCTACCTTTGTATCTACTTATAAAGAACCTGAAGCCAGTGATCAAAACTTTCATTCACTGTAATTAATCATTTCAATAATGTTAAACAGCAAAGAACATATTTTATAACATAGCTTAAAAAAAAAGTTATGCAAGGCACAAAGTCAGTTAGGCAAAATATTTTTCTGAGAGCAAATACTGTAATAAAAGTGTTACAAACAGAACTAATTCTTCTCTGAGGAAATGTCTGTGATTTGTCTCTCAAAAGTGGCACCTTGAAGTCTAATTATTACTCTCTATGAAATCACCATAAAAATAACATCAAAGCCTCTAAGCAGAAATAATAGTTTTGGCTGTCTGGAGAGTCACGCCTTTTTATTTACCTAATGCAAACACAGCCAACCCTTTTCCTCAAAAAAGCACTGTGCTTCATCTATAAGGAGAGCCAAAATTCATCAGAAAATATTTTTGTTGCAGTCCAGAATATAATCAAGATCTTTTT